TGGGGGGGGGGCCCCCCCCCCCCCCCAGTCTGGGGTACATCTGGGCACTGTCCCATGCCAGGAGCCGCCCGCCGGCCGAAATTGACTCCAAGAATCGTCGACAGGTGCTGAGGCCAAGCCCAACTGTGTCTGGGTATGGCGGGGTGGGATGGGGGGGGGGCAGGGTGGCATTCTTCTTTGTGTCTGCATTTCTCAGAAAATTGAAATAGTCTGCTCACTATTTCTCCCTGTCAGTGGCAGTGTATATTTAGCTTTGTTTATTAAGCATAAAATAATAATAATGCTGTTGGGCGAATTGCCCGTACTGGGCCTGTCAAAAACAAGTGTAGATTTAAGGTTTAAAGTTTTATGGCTGTGTTTTTCGTGTGGTGGTAGATGCTTCTGATCGTCGCTCGTTTTTCCAGCAGCTGGGAAAAGGTTTATCTGGTTTCCAGACCTCTGGCTGCCCTACCAGAGGGGGCGCAAGTGCCACTGGAGGTGTGTGGGTGGCAGGGTTCTGACCTCACCTTGACCCCCCCCAGGGTTCATTAAGGCCCTGCCAGGCCGGTGTCCGTGTCGCATTTCACTTTTCCCGCCAGCTGTAGACGGAATGCTGAAGCTAAATTCTCTTGTTTCGGGACAGCTGGCCTGTTGCATCACCTCTGTTTTCCTTCCTTCCTCCTCCTGAGCACAGCGCACCAAGAATGTTTTTGTTTGTTTGCTACACTCATGCTTTTTTTTTTCCGAAACTTACCGTTCGTAAATATGAATTTACTACATGGCTGAAAGCTGTTTCCGATGTGGTTCTCACTGGCCATATAAGCATGAATACACATGTACTGGTGTTTTTTTTTTGTGTGCGTTTATTTTATTTTATTTTATTTTATATTAGTCAAACTTAGTTATGGAAATAAAATTGATATTTTAGAATAATTTGCATAATGAATGAATGGCAAAAATCTATATTTGGATTTTTGAAAATTTTTGTAGGCTAATATTAAGACCTCTAACATGCGTTTGCTCTTTTTTGTTCTTTTTTAGCGCTCGTCTTTTAACGTAAAATAAGGGACCTGCTACTAGGGGCAAACTAATTTGTCTTTATCCAGCTAGCTAATATGGCTGAAACTAGGGGAAAAAAGTGCCGTCTGGAAACTTTGGATTTAGCCAGATTTACAGCTTTTATCTTCCCCCTGCATGTGCATGCTCAGTGAATTTCAAAACAATGACAATGGCGCTTGCCTTTGGAAATACTGTCAAAGAACAGTGTTGTGTGGCATTACTTCTAGATGGTATGATGATTGATGTTTTTCACGCTAGCGTTTCTGACCAGTGTGTAGCTATGTTATCGTCTACTCATCACTTTCCTCACTTAGGCTACTGCGTGATGACAAGCTGGGCCTGCAGTATGATTATTATTATTATTATTATTATTATTATTATTATTATTATTATTAATAATTAGTATTCCGATTTCTTCAAATGATAAATGTTCTTTTATACAACTTCAAATACCTTATTCAAATGCCACAGAGGGTCAGTCCTACCCTCTGTGTCTTAATTAACTGTTGGTGTCCTTCAGATCTCTTCCTAACCTGGGAGAGTGTAAAACAGGGTAGCGTAAATCGCTGAGAGGCATTAGCAACCGTGGATTTCTTTTGTAATGGTTTTCCGTCAGTGGGCGCCATTTGAGCCCCGGCTGGAAGCTCTGGACTTCCGCTAACGTGCGGCAGCTGGAGCGCGGGCTCCGCCAAACCCGCCGACGCGGGCAGCTCCGTCGGCCTGACGGTGTCACGGCCGATCCATCACCCTGTCCCCACACCCTAGATGCGAAGAGAATTAGGGCTATATTGGTTTTAAAATGTTTTGTGATGTGGAATGCGCACGAGCTAATCCGTCCATGACAGATGAGTCTGTCTAAAGATCCCACCTCCGTGTCTGTCTCTCTGGGGCGCCACGCGATAGGACACTTTATTTAATTACATTTTTTTATTTGTAGCTTTGGTCGATGTCGTTTTGAAAACTGCCAGTTTTATCTCCTGGTACTTCTCCGGTTTCCATAAGCGATTAAATACCTATTAACGATGGATCTGCTCACTGAGGAATTTGAATGACGGCCACAATGCTTATACGTCAAAGGGATCTTCTTCCGTTAAAACTCACATTAACTTTTAATGACTGTGACTGCAGCTCTCATCTGCCCCCAAAGATAAGGGTAAATTGATGAGGAAAGCTTATATAGTGGTTAATTATGCTGCCTTGATATTTCTTTAGAATTCTGCTAGAAATAACAATTATAACGTTAATCTATGGAAATGATAGCACTGTCTACAGCCGTATCTCAACCTGTGGTTGAGTTTGACATTGACATTGAGGTTGTGTTCATCATTCATCATTCGCAGGGAAACCAGGTAACAGTGAGGGTTCTTGTTTCTTGGATTGATACTTTGCAGCTGCGGTGTCCCCTGTGCCTCTCTTCCAGCTCCTGTCCCATCAATGTCCGCACTCTGCCCCCATCCCTCACCCCCAGCCCGACGGGGCGCCAGGGCGCATGTACCGAAAGGCATTTCTCACCCCTCTTCCTCTGCCTCGGCCCCCTCGCAGCTTTGGGTTACATGAATTCTGGGTCTGTTGGCCCGCCTGGTCCCGCGATAGCATCACGGCGGGGGAGGACCGGCCCGCTGTTTGAGCTCTATTGACTTGGTTTCCATAGAGCCTCGCTCGGCCCAGCGGTGACAGGAATGGTACGTGACATACAGGGCAGAGCTGGATAGCCCTGGGCAAATCCCACATGGGTGCGGCCGCATAGAACGGGGACCTGAGCGACATCAGATACGTCAGGACATCTGCGAGGTAGAGGGTGGGATCCTCTCCGCAGGGCAGCAGTGGGGGAAAATGAAATGGCTGTCGGCTGGGTTTTAATTCTTCACCCATTCTAAGGGACGTTTCTAGTAATGGGAAATGGAGGCTCTACAGCTGAAATCTCAGAAGTGTAGTTTGTTTGCATTTCTGTTATTTTGGGCGGGTTGCATAGCAGTTAAGGGTTCATAATTGATCATAACCAGAATGCTGTTGGTTTGAGATCCAGGAGGGCCCCTCCTGCAGCTCTGTAAGCTTTTTAGATCTTAAGACTTAAGTAGAGATGTTCTTGTAATACAAGTGGGGTACTGCGACATTACATTGATTCATTTAGCAGATGTAGCTGCAAATAATTTAACGGCTAATAATCTAATGACTGCCAATAAGTAACAACTTTCCATTCTAAATCTAAGTTGATGATGTAATAACTTACCAATAATGTAATAATTTCTGAATCAGAAACGTAATAACGGTGCATAATGTAAAAAGTTATTACATTATTGGCTGATACAGCAGACATTTTTGTCCAAAGAGATTTGACAACTTGA